CAGTTTAATCTTTGAAATATGGCCTTTAAAGGTTCAAGATACGATGTCACATTGGTTCTACCTGTAACAAGACTTACTGAAGAAAAGACAGGATAGCAAGGAGGGTTTTGTATTTTATGTGCAAAGCTGGGATGTTTCCAGACAGGATAAAGCCTTGAGCAACCTGGGCTGATCTCGTAGCTGATTGTGCTTTGAGCAGGAGGTTGGTCTGGAGACATCCGGAGAGCCCTTCCAACCTGAAGTATCCTGTGATCTGTGATTCAGTCTATCACAGTAAAGGGAAGAGCAGTACACGCTGTTCAAAGATTTTTGGGGATGAGGGGGGGAAGGTTCACAGTAAATGGCAGTATAGTTTATTTCTGTTTTTTCCCCTTACGTTTTAGCTGAAAACAGTCATTGATACCTATAAGCAAGCTAAAAATGGCCAAAAATATCTATTCCATATATAGTATCTTTGACTGTCTTTTCTTTTGTGATCAACTCTTCATGCACTGTAAGATGCAAGTATAGCAAAGCAACCTGAATGAACAAGTGTGACGGTAATGGTCCCTGATACATATGTAGGAGAGACTGCGTGCAGCTCCTCTGAGAGGATGGCAAAGCACACATCTTGCAGCCTACAAAAGAGAAGGCTAAAAATGGCAAGAAAAATCCCATTTCTGAATTGCTCAGTGGCAAATGGTGGTTATAACTTCAGCCTGCCTTGGAGCAATGGCAGTGCTTGGATCCCTAGGTTGCAGTCAGCCCTGGCTCCTGTGTCTAAGCTGTCGGGAGAGACTGCAAACAGCTGTGGAAGTGTTGTTTCAGTCTCTGTGTGCCACAAGCAGCACACAGGGACCATAGCAGGAGTGATCATTTCTGAGTAAGAATATGTCAAATCTACCAATACATTAATTTTTAATAAACAGTAAGTATAACAAGACAAAACTGCTAAAAACCTGCTACAGTTGCAGAAAAATGCCTGCCTGTGGAAAGTCACGTAAAAAGTAAGTGCTGTGTCATATCCAGTCCCCATCTACCTCCCTGCAAAGAGGAAGTCTGTGGACCGTCTTTCTTCAGTGCAGGTAGACGTACCTAGTACAGTTAACCCAATACATTCCCATTACTGCAACAAAATCAACTCACCTGAAAAAGTGACTGGAAATACTTCTGAACTTTCTGCGCTGTCCAAATGCAATAATAGTACTTGTGGTGTTCAACGCTGTCTGCAAATAAAGCTTTCGCTCAGATGTGTAATCTAGAAAGCGCATACAGAAGAATCTTTGCTACATGTATAATCTTTTGGCAGATTTCCTTCTCTTAAATATAGGACTCGATGGTAGTATTTACTTTCTCCCCATGTTTCAGTTGAAGGTTTACATAAGGAAGAACTAGACCTACAATTAAGGGCTGTTTCTGAGTTCAGAAGGTCTCCTGACAAAAGTAGCTATGACAAGCAGGGTGGTGTAGGACACAAAGATGGCCTTAGACAATGCAGAGCTCTTGAAATGGAAGCTGAGGTTGTAAACTATTCTTTAGAAAATAATTTTCCTATTCTCCTGCCAAAATCTAAGCCCTGAGGCAGTCCAAGTGTCCATCTTCAGCTGCACTACCCGCACCTGCCTAGCAAACACCTCAGACCTGTGCCTTTCTTCATTTTCTTATGACTCGCTTCCCAAGAGAAGGAGCCCAAACTCATTCCTGGAAATCTCCTTAATTCCCTATTCCCTACCTCCCAAACCAACCACTGGTGTCCATAGCTGGCTGGTGGTGCCCAGGGCAGCGGGATGCAGGTACATGGTGGTGCAGGTGCTGGAGCTGCAGGAACCCATTACCGCATGTCACTGTTCTCCTGGTGCCTGTTTGCACTTACCGTACAGTGAGTTGAGGGTGTTTGAGATGACTGTAAGTACATCTGCTGGGTTGGGGGTAAATCCTGCCTGAGGGCAGTTACGACAGCTCAGTTACACCACAGTAGTGTTCTTGAGAGAGGTTGATTTAAACAGAAATGCAGCATCCTTGAAAAATTGCTAGGACTACTTTTGCCTAAGGCCAGTTCTGACACAAGTCATAGTGTAACTAAGGTGGTATCCATCCATCTATTATAGGGATATTCAGGATGCCTTCATAAAAAGCAGCGAGAAGAAGAAACTTGAGAATATAAGTCAGTGGACCAAATAGAGATGTTTTCTTTGGGCTGAGACAAACTGCTCTGTAAATACCAGCTTCTCTCCCTCGACTATAAAGGGAGCCTATGGGACTCAGTTCAGGTGTAGAGGTCTACAGTGGTGACACCAGCTTTCAGATGGATGAATCCAACCTTAACTGCCTGGTGATGAGAGAAGGGTACATATTTTTACCTTGCAGCTCACCGTAATTAATGTTATGATAATGTGTGATTGAGTATGCATTATGGCATATAGCAAGGACAGACTTTATTTCTGCATGATAGGCTTTTAGCCTGGTAGATACATGGCTATGAAACAAGACAATTTCCTATCATTTGGCAACTAGTGTGCAGTCAGTAACTGGAAAGTTAATAAAACACCGTCCTTATTTTCCACCACTAACATTTTCCATGTTAATGTATCTGCATGTCTACATCTGTATCATTGTAAAGGACAGATGTAAAGGAATTACCCCCAACTGCATTTGCATTTCCACCAAGTGGAGATATATATATATATTATATTCTCTCTATCACTGCTATACCACCAAATGTATATAGCTTTTCCAAAATGAAAAATTGGTATTAGCTGAAGAAAGCCTTTCTCCCAGCTTAGATGCTGGAGAAAGTCTTATGTGTTGTGGGTTAACCAAAGTAGGCAGCTAAGCTCCACACAGCTGCTTGTTCACTCCTCCCCAGCAGGATGGGGGAGAGAATTGGAACGGCAAGAGTGAGAAAACCTGTGGGTTGAGATAAAGACAGTTTAATAAGCAAAGGGGGGAAAAAATAAATAAAAAAACCAAACAAATGATGCAAAAAGCAATCATTCACCACCAAGCCAACCAATGCCCAGCCAGTCCCTGAGCTATGGCCCCCTGGAAAACTCCCCCCACCTCCCCAGCTTTTATTGCTGAGCACGATGCCCTGTGGTATGGGATATCCCCTGGGTCAATTGGGGTCAGCTGTCCTGGCTGTGTCCCTCCCAACTTCTTGTGCACCCCCAGCCTACTAGCTACAGGGACAGTGTGAGAAACAGAGAAGGCCTTGATGCTGTGCAAGCACTGCTCGGCAATAGCTAAACATCAGTGTGTTATCAGCGCTGTTTTGGTCACAGATCCAAAACACAGCCCCATGCCAGCTGCTATGGAGAAAATTAACTCCATCCCAGTCAGAACCAGTACACCATGTCACCAAACATAAAACATGACAAACATACCTGAGGCCACTGCAGGGACAGCAGGCGTCAGGGATCTGTATAAGGCAGTAACATCCCCCTTCTCTTCTGGTAAATTGTCTGGAGCACAGCAGTAATTCCTGTGCGTGAGTGCCCCAGCCTTTAATTAGAAGAGCAGAGGGATCAAGAGGGCAAGCACAAGTGACTGCTTTTATAGACAGCCTGGGTCCATGAAAGCTTTGAGCAGGAAGAGAAGCCTGTGTTTGTTTCTGAATTGCAACCTGGTTAATTGAAATACTTCCGTGAGGAGTCTTGGTGACCGCAGCCCAGCACTGTGGGGCAATGTAAGTCCAGTTACTGCTCAGCACCTGGCTGTCAGCAGCTGCTTTCCAGGTCCATGGGCCAAAATGTCTCAAACGTCAAGCAGGAGTAAGATGGAAGTGAAAGAAATTCAAAGCAGCTCAGAGCTGAGTTGGGAATGGGGGAAAACCTCCAAATCTTTTTTCACTTAATGTAAAGGTTGGAAAAGTTACGTTCTCCTATCCCCTTCTCTACAAGGAGGGGGTGTTTTGGCTAGGAGATGTAATGACTAAGGACTGCTGAGGTGGAGACATGCTGAAAGATGTGAAGTCTGGGTCTGACCTGTGATGAAGCTCAGCTGGAAAGGGGTAACACTGAAGCTATCCAAAGGGTCAGGCTTATGAGAGGGGCTGCTCTGCCAAGGACTGCCTTTGTGTGTATTGACTGCCAGCAATGACTCTGCAATTTCTCTGAACTACGGTCAAGTCCTCCAGTATGTAAAAAACAAACTCTACAGAATGCATGGCTCTTCTGGAAGTCTGTAGGTGGAAGTGTTAGAGTGCTAAAATGTAGCTTTGAAGGCCTGTCTTGAGAGTCTCAGTTCTGAAGACTGTGGCCATGGTTTTCTTGAATTCAGATCTGTCTGGCAGGATGCTTAAGATTCTTCACCTTGTTCCTCTGCAAAATCGTGTCCACCATATGGTGATGGTATCTACCAGAGGCACAGCGATAGTATGCTTTGTTTCATTGTAGAAGTAGGACAAACAGAGAGTGACTCCTTTCTCTTTCCACAAAGAAAGGCAGGAGGGACATCACCGTTGACAAGGATGTCTTAGTTTTCAATGAAATTATATACTATCTGCTTTTATTTGATATGAAAGCTTGCAAGGCTTGTCTGAATGGATGAGGAAGACAGTATATTGGCACCTGGGCAATACGGCATGTGTCTCCTTTCCCTCAAATGCTTTCTTTGGTGATGTTAGCAAGCCACCCTTTTTCCTCTATAGGCAGGAACAATCCATCTTTCTAGTCTAGTCTAGTAGAGGAGAACAATCGCTCCTTCCTTCCTCTGTCTCTGTTTTGTTAATTTATACATTCTTGGGATTAGTGCTTTTATCTAGAGAGGTAAAATATACATCTTAAGTAAGAGGACCTCATTTTGTGCAATGTTTTAGCGTAATATGTGTAATAGCTAATAAAAATGAATTCTAATTTTGATGTAGCACTTGCATGATCTGTGATAAGGACTTACATCCCTACTTACATTTTCATCCAGTCGATGCTTTCCTCAGATTGATAGGCACAAGAGAAAACAAGATGAGCCATTTGAATTAAACTACTGGTTGCAAGAGAATTAAATAGCAGCACTTGACCCTTGCAATACACTCTCTTGTACAACACTGTGCCTCCTCCCAAGTGCTGTGTTGTGCCAGGCCATCCTGGGGTGACCCCAGTTCACTTCTCCCCTGCAGTCTTCAGTTGCTTCAGTCACAACTTAATTAGCAAACCCTATCCTTAGACTTGGTTTTGAATACTTGTCAGCCATACATAGCACCCAGAAAACGTTCACAGCCTCTCCTCTGGGACTGCTGGAAGAGTTTACCTTAGGTAGGCTGAGTTTCTTCTGAAACAAAATAAAAGGCCACTCCAAATCATCTCCTAAGCACTATCCACTCTTAAGCCAGTGGAGAGTAGGGGAAAAAGAGAAAAGAGCTGAGGAATGTTGTCAGTCAGTTGAAAGGATATCAAGACAGTGACTCACTAGTACTTCTAAGGTGGTAGAGATGCACTTCCTCAGTTGGATGGGGTGCTGAGGGAAAGGCATGGGCCACCTCCCAAATACCTCTTTACATCAGTGGTCTCCATCCTCAAGAATGAAGCCTTTTCAGGGAAAGGACAGAATATATGCCTTAAGCTTCTGAGGAGGGACCTAGTCTGTTGTCACCTATGGTCTCTTTACATGCTAGTGTGGCTTTGGTGTTTCTCAGGAGAATGTGAGGAGCAAATGAAGAAGTTGGCTTGCCTGCTGTTGGATGAAGAAGTGAGAGGTAAGGCTCTGCCAGAAGGGAATAAATAGCAAGAGCTTTTGTGTCTGTTGCGGGGGGGGAAAAAAAAAAAGGAGCTCTTCCTACTTGCATGACAATAGAGGCACCTGTAGACAAGGACTCTCCTGTGAAGGGGGTTTATTGTGAAATGTCATTCCTCCAGTCCAGCAACACAAACCGTCTTATACTATGTCCTGGAGGTCAGCTTATCTTCTGTTGGGGGGAAGGAAGAGGGGATGGATAGTGATGGGGATTAACCCAGATGTAAAAGCCATTCCTTCATCCTGTCTTTTTTATGCAAATGGTGACCTTTAGCAGAATTTAAAGTAGTTGACACTTGAAATCAGTGAACAACAAAGCTACATCATAAAAAAAAAAAAGCTGTTTAGCTAAGTCAGTCACAGAATCCTGAAAGATGCTTACTTTGTTCCAGACATCTGATGTGGTCCTGTACTCTTGCTGTATCTTATGAGCAGTCTTCTGGTGAAATGTTTCCATCTGAATTTTATATACATATTCACCCTCATCTATATAAATTCTGAAATAAGGTGTGCTCAGCTCAGCATGTTCTCTGAAAACTCTACTTCCATAACAAAAACATCTCTGGTAGTACAAGCTACCCTGAACTTTTATACATCAACAGGGACATGCGTACCACAATATTTACACCACTTGTGCTAAAGGATTTACTTCCTCACCTACATGTGCACACTTTTGAGAAGTGTGGGGATTTTGTTTTTAATTAGAGAAGTGCCCTGAAGTAAAGCCTCAGCTGCAGACAGTTTGTGAGAAGTTCAAGCATGGTTCTTCTGTTAGAGCTTCTTCACCTGGGGAGTGATGTTGGCACAAAGCTGCTGCCAGTCCAGTAAGTGAAGCCGAGAGCCTGACATCCTTGGATTGACCTGAGACCTGCCTGCCTATCTAGTCCTGTCCTGAAGTGGGCTGGCTGTGCGGGACTGCATGGGAAAGACATTTTCTGCATCTGAGCCAGTCCCAAACGACCTCCTCTTCATAACTGCTAAAGTCTATGGCATACCTTAGAGTTCCTAGCCACTACATATATATGTATGTTTGGTGTGCAGCTCTGGCAGGCTGGTGATTCAGAAGCGACTCAGAGCAGCACAGCTCTGTCACTTTCTCAGTGTG